TCCTCTCATACAAATAATTATAGATGCAACCCGTACATAGTTACTGCAGTACCCTTTTCAACTTCTCTCATACACTATGGTTAGTAATAAGATTGTTAAATTATTTTTATGAAAAATCTTAAAAAACATAATTTATATATTAAAAAAATCTAAAACAAATATAAATATTTATAATTATCTCGTGCATAGTACGGGTGATAGGCTAGTATATATATATACTATATATTAAGTAAAAGGGGGTTTTAACCTCCAAGGCCTGTGGGAGCTTTAATATATCAATCCTAATTTTCTAATTTTTTGTTTTTTAAAAAAAAAAATTAACCTCAACATTTATTAATTTCTCTCAATCCATAAGATTTTTTGACTTTTCTCATAATTACTACAGTACATTTTCCAAAACAAATAACTTGTATATTAAAAAAATTTAAAACAAATATAAATATCTATATCTATATCTATATCTATCTATTTATTTATATCTATCTCTAACCCACAAGTTTTGTGGGAGTTCCAATATCTGAACCTTAATTTCTTAATATTTTTGATTTTTTTTTTTGAAAAAAAAAACTTAGAACTTATTAAATTTTTCCAAGTCTTTTTAACTTCTCCACAACACAAACTCTTTTTAACTTTTCACATACCTATGGCAAACAGTGAGTCTCCTTTTTATTTTCTCCTTATTGACTTCTCACTTCTACACTTTCAGCTTCAGTGACCATGTATGCAAATAGTAAGTCTTCTTTTTGTTTTCTTCTTCTTGACTTTTCCTTTTGTTTACTGTTTTAATATTGCAGTTAGATAGCGCATAAAAATATTTGTGATTTGTCTAGCGAATAAAAAATTATAATCTGATTTTTTAATATGATTGAAGTTAGACAAATATAAACTCTCACAAAGAGAAAAATGTGATTATAATTAGTTGAATGATTCTTTTTTTTTTTTAATGTGATTGTAGTTAGTTTAATATTTTTTTTTCATTTATTTATTTTATTATGGGAAAAATGTGATGTGATTGTCGTTTGTTCAATGGCTCTTTTTTTTAATATGATTGTTGTTAGGGCTGTTCAAAAATCCGTTCAAACCGGTAATCCGGACCGAATCAGACCGAATCATATGGTTTGGTTCGGCTCTATTAAGAATTGGTTCGGTTTCGGATTAAGAAATATGAGAACCGTAAAAACGGTTCGGTTAATGGATTTTATGAAAAAATCGCGGTTCGAACCGAACTGAACCAAATTTTAAAAGTTATATATATATATATATATATAATATCAAGCTTTATTTTTATTAATTGGTTTTTTATAATTTTAATGATAGTAGGATGGTATATATATGTAATATTAAGTAATGCCTTAATATTATTAGTTTTTATCATGAGTTAAATGTAATTAGTTTGAGTAATTATTTTGCTAATATTAATAATTTATTCTTATAAATAAAAAGTTTTGGAACCGTAATCGAACCGTAAACCAAATCGTTTTTTCGATTTGGTTCTGCTCCGGTTTTACAAGTGTAACGGTCTGGTCTGCTTCTCAAAATTACAGAACCGTTAGGATCGGTTCGGTTCTTAGATTTTCTCAGAACCGAACCAATCCGGACCGTGTACACTTCTAATTGTTGTAGTTAGTTCAATAGTTTCTTTTTTAATGTTATTTAATCTTTTTATTTACTATTTTAATTTTATTTTTAATATGATTGAAATTAGATAAATATAAACACTCACAAAGAAAAAAAATGTGATTGTAGTTAGTTCAATGGTTCTTTTTTTTTTTAATGTGATTGTAGTTAGTCAATGGTTCTTTTTTTCATTTATTTATTTATTTTATTATGGAAAAAATGTGATATGATTGTAATTTGTTTAATGGTTCTTTTTTTAATGTGATTTAATCTTTTATTTACTATTTTAATTATTTTTCTTTACAATTATTTATGAAAAAAATATGATTGTAGTTAGATAACATAAAAATATTTGTGATTTGATTTGATTTTTTTTTATTTGATTTTTAAAGTACCAATTATTGATAATGATTAGATTGTATTTTGAAAAAAAAATTGTAATTGATTTTTTTAACCCACTGTGTTTTTTGAAAAAAAAATTATTGTTTTTTTTAACTATCAATTCACTTAATTTGTGATTTGATTTTTAACTCACTGTGCTTTTTAAAAAACAAAATGGATTGTACTCATTAAGGTCACATAATGTACCAATTACTGATGATTAGATTGTACTTTGACCAAAAAAAATTGTAATTGATCTTTTTAACTCATTATGTTTTTTGAAAAATAAAGTATTGTGTTTTTTAATTATCAATTAACTTAATTTGTGATTGATTTTTTTTAATTATCTATACTATATATTAAGCAAAAGGGAGTTTTTAACCCCAATGCTTGTGGGAGCTCTAATATCCCAATCTAAATTTTCTAAATTTTTTATTGAAAAAAAAAACTCAACATTTATTGATTTGGTCAAAAGTCCTTAATCACCATTTAAAATCTTCTCATACAAATAATTATAGATACAACCCGTATATAGTTACTGCAATATCATTTTCAACTTCTCCCATACAATATGGTTAGTGATAAAAATTGTTAAATTATTTTATAAAAAATCTTTAAAAACATAATTTATATATTAAAAAAAAATCTAACACAAATATAAATATATATAATTATCCCGTGCATAGCACGTGTGATAAGCTAGTATATATTAAGGAAAAGGGGGTTTCTAACCCCAAGCTTTGTGAGAGCTCCAATCTCACAATCTTAATTTTTAAAATTTTTTTTTTAAAAAAAAACTTAGTATTTATTGATTTGGTTAAAATCTCTTGATCAGCATTTATTAACTTTTTCCAATTCACACGTCTTTCCACATGCCTACATTTATTGATTTGATCAAAATTCTTGATCAGTATTTAAAATTCCTTCATACAAATAATTATAGATACAGCCCATGCATAATTACTACAGTAGTCTTTTCAATTTCTCCCATACACTATGATTAGTAATAAGATTGTTAAATTATTTTTATCAAAAATCTTAAAATACATAATTTATATATTACAAAAAATTTAAAATAAATAAAAATATTTATAATTATCCCGTACATAAATTCTTATGAAATAATAGATGATGTTTCAATATACAATGCACATCATATATAATTCTACTATTGACAATGCGCATTGTATATAATCCTCTTTACAAAATTACATAAATTTTTATAATCTCACAAAACTTCAACCTTTTTTGTGAAGTTACTTGTACAAAATCATAAAAACTTACATAGTTTTGTGGTAAAATTGCATAGCACATTGGAAAATTTTCTATTATTTGATAATATCACATTTGTAACATAACATTATTAAGATTATGGCATAAATTACAAATATATTATTTGAAATTTACTTAAAATACAAATTCCTCATTTTATTTTAAAAATTATATCCTACTCCTTCAAATTTCTAATCGTAAAACAATTGATCCATTTTATTTATTTATTTATTTATAATTGTGTCTCTAAACCAATTTACTCATATCTTGACTAAATCTGAAACCTTAAAATTAACGACTAGACAAATCATTAAATCAATTAAAAATTTAATTATGTTATAAATATATTCTAATTAATAATTCTAATAATTTTATTATTATATAAAAGAATAATTAGAAATTTTAAATAAATATATGTATTTATAATTGAGAAAAATACATATCAATCATTTTGCTTGGTTTGGGTTTTCTAAAACACTTCTTAAAAAATTCCTACTTTCTTGTTTTTCCTATTTTTTTGTTTTTACCGAATTTTTTTTAATATTTTAAGCAATTGTTTTAATTTTTAGACACATTTAACATAAATAATTTTAAAAATTATAATTTTCGTGAAAAAATCTTTAAAAAATTCACTAAATACCAAAAATAAAAAAAAAACAAAAATTCAGTATATTTTAGTATTTTTGTGTATTTATTAATTTTTTAATATATTTGTCACAAATATTTATTTTTTAGATATATCTAAATAAAGTGTATCTAAAAAAGTAAAGAAAAAAATGCTTAAATTTTTTAAAATATTTACTAAAAATAAAAAACATGAAAAACAAAAAAATTAATTATGAAAAAACTGAATTCAAATACACTAAATAGTACTTAAAAAAAAATTACAAATCTATTAAAAAAATTAGGGCAAATTACATATACACCCCTCCAGGTTTGACAAAATTACAGATACCCCCCTGAGGTTTGAGAAATTACGAATTCCCCCCTGAATGCTATATTTGCATAAGAAATTAGGGGGTAATTTGTTATGAAATATAAACCTCAAGGGGTAAATTGTTATGAAAATACAAACCTCAGGGGGCGGGATGTAATTTCCGAAACCTCAGGGGGTATCTGTAATTTAACCAAACCTGGAGGGGTGTATATGTAATTTGCCCAAAAAATTAAGTTTTTAATTATTAATATATAATATTTAAAAAAAATATCACTGGTGTGATACTTTCTCTTGGAGTATAAGTAGGTATTTGACATGCACTTAAAAAAATGTATTTTTTTTTATATAGATACACTTATTTATACTATAACAATCAATATCTATCAACATCTATTCTTTATTTTTCTACACACTTTCTATACTTTTCTATACATTTTTATTATAAAAAGTTAAAAAGTGAACTTAGGAACAATTTGAAAACTTGCTTAAAATTAATTTTTTTGACTTTTTAAAATTTTTTTTTTATACAAAAAGTCAATTTTTTACACAAATAATCACAAAAAAATTAAAAAAAACCAAAAAATTAATTTTTTAATAACTTCTTAAAATATCACATATTTATCCTAAGTTTATTTTATTCAAGTTAGTCTGGGCATTGATGTTGATGGTTTTGAACAAAATCTACCCGCCCAATCCACGTGTCGACGAATTTTAAGGTAAAAATTGAAAAAAATCCAACGTGTCGCCACACACGTGACCACCAAAATATTTTTAATTTTGTCTTTCATTGCCGCCTTCTTCTTGTGCTTCATCTTCATCGTCATCTTCGTTCTCGGCCGTTTCGTACGGCGGAGAAACAAACGCACCCCACCACATTTTCCCAAACCGTTGTCATCTCAATTCGATTCGATCTCCGTCAATGGCGGACCAAAATTCAAATTCAAATTCAGATTCAGATTCAAATTCAGTCATCTATCTTCACGGCGATCTCGATCTCCAGATTCTCGAAGCTCGATTTTTACCTAACATGGATTTGATGTCCGAGCGCTTCCGTCGCTGTTTCAGCGCCTTCGATTCCTGCCGGAACCCTTTCTCCGGCGCCGCACGCAAGCTCCGCCGCCACCGCCCAAACAAAATTATCACCAGCGACCCTTACGTCACCGTCTGCCTCGCCGGCGCTACCGTGGCTCGAACTCGCGTTATCTCCAACAACCAAGACCCTGTCTGGAACGAGAACTTCAAAATCCCTCTCGCTCATCCAATCTCTCAGGTCGAGTTTCAAGTCAAGGACAATGATATGTTCGGCGCAGATTTGATCGGAATCACCACTGTTCCGGCGGAGAAAATCAAGTCCGGCGATCTCATCGACGATTGGTTTCCGATCATTGGATCCAACGGTAAGCCTCCGAAGCCTGATTGCGCTGTTCGTCTCGTGATCAGATTCAAACAATGCGATCACAATCCTGTTTTCAATCACGGAATTGTAGCTGATCCAGACTGTTTCGATGTCAAACAGAGCTATTTTCCGGTGAAGCATGGAGGTTCGGTGACTCTGTATCAGGACGCTCATGTGCCTGATGGTATGCTTCCTGAGATTGAATTGGATGAGAAAATGGTGTTTAGGCATGACAAGTGTTGGGAAGACATATGTCATGCGATTCTAGAGGCTCATCACATGGTGTATGTTGTTGGATGGTCAATTTTTCATAAGGTGAGGCTGGTTAGAGAGCCGAGCAAGCCATTGCCGAGCGGTGGGAATTTGACTCTCGGAGATTTGCTCAAGTATAAGTCGCAAGAAGGGGTTCGAGTTCTATTGTTGGTTTGGGATGACAAGACCTCTCATAGCAAGTTTTTCATAAATACGGTATGAATCTTTTGATTTTCTTTTTTCTTTTTTTCATTTTAGTTCATAAATGCTGAGTTATGTTAATTTATTGATAGTATTTGTTAAAGGAAAGATTTGTCTAGTGTGTGCTCCCCTGAGTAATTACCCATTTAAGGCATTTTTCATTGATGTTGATATATTCAATTGAGGTTCTGATGATTAATATAATCAGAAGAAATTTGGGTTAATTTATAGTTGACTTGTACAATTAGCAATGTTCTGTGCATTTTTGTAGGACTCTAAGCTGAAATTATAAAGAGGAAAATAAACTTTGTGAAAACAAAAAATTGTGTTGGGTAAGATTTACAACTCTGCCAAAAGTTGATCAGGGACTTTAACCTTTTTAGGGTAAGGATTGTCACAAAATAAAAATAGAAATCTTAATATCTACCTCATAATAACATACTAGGATCTTCTGCAATAATACACACTCGCAATACTCTTGCAATGGTGGGTTAAGAGTCCAAAACACAATCATTGCAAGGTTAAACCAGCCAATGATTGTGTTTTTTATTCGTAAACCACCATTGCAAGATTATTGTAAGGGTGGATTGTTGTAGAGGATCCCACTCCCATAATAACAGGGCCTTTGGAACAGTAGAAACCAGTGAGGGAGCTTTAGGTGACATTCAGTATTACAATTACATCTGTTTGTACTACTTTTGTTAAGTAAGATGTTATGATGAGCTATCAACAAGCTTTTCCAGGAGTAGTCCTGCATTTTCTACATTGATGTCTGACATTAAATATTCATGATGTGCAGCTGCAATAACACTCTGCATTTTATTTTTAAAAATGCTGTGATGGAATTTCCAGATTATAAGGATGATCACCTTAATTTAGTATTCATGAATTCTATTGGATTGAGCTGGTATTATGCATTCTTTAGTGGGATGTGGTTGATAGTTTGTGCTACTGGCCTCCCTTGTTTAGATACAAGTTTGCAGGGCAAAGATGCTAGATGCCTACTTCCACTTTGTGCACAATTCTTATGTTCAACTAACATCATCCTTTGTTAACATTGGTTCATTTTAAAGATTATTTCTGATGTTAGTTGCGGTTTTGTGCAGCAAGGAGTGATGCAAACTCATGATGAAGAAACTCGAAAGTTTTTCAAGCACTCTTCTGTCAGTTGTGTGCTCGCACCTCGATATGCAAGCAGTAAGCTCAGCATTTTCAAGCAACAGGCATGCTTTATACTGTGGTCGACTAATTGCTTTCTTTTCTTGTGTATCAAATAAAACGATCATAGGAAAATGCTCACTGATAATGATATAATATAAGCATTTTGGAAGATAACTTTGGTCCCAGTGGTTAAGTTTTATGGTTATATGCATCGAACTCTTGTGGAGCTTGAAAACATCTTCATCTGCTACCATTTGTTCAATTAGTTTTTGCTACCATTTCACGCTGAGTTTGTGGCATAAAGTTTTGTTCTGCGGCTTCTTTATCCTGTCAATCTCAATGTGAAATCTTCAGGCTAAAGAAACCCTGCATACACAACAGAAATATTTTATCAGCAAAAACTGTTCATGTATAGAAACGTAAAGAAACCTTAAATTTACATGTAAAAATGTCTTAAAAGACACTCATTTCATCTAAAATAGATAAGAAGCTGATTATCTTTTCTTCTTGCATCTGACATCAGGTTGTCGGAACTCTCTATACACACCATCAGAAATGTGTGCTTGTAGATTCCCAAGCATATGGAAATAACCGGAAGGTAACTGCTTTTATGGGAGGTCTGGACCTCTGTGATGGTCGCTATGACACGCCTGAGCATCGACTATTTCGTGATCTTGACACTGTATTTCAGGATGATTATCATAATCCAACATTTTCTGTAAGCGTTCCTTTCTTCTGAAATTCTATGTCTTCAGGTTTCTTTAGTATACCGATATTGTACAGGTTAAATTAAATTGAAATCCCAATTGCGATTGATTATTGGGTAACAATTTAGAGGAACGACATGAAAGGGGGAAAAAAGTACTATTATTATTTACTCATGAGCTCCCTGAGTGTCTTCAAGCCCAGGACTTATATCCTGCTATTTTGTTCATCATGAATGTTTGAACAACTAATATAGACCATAGTAGATGAAGACAGTTTCTTTGGCAAATGAACATAATGTTTGATATGAAAGCTATAATTTTCTTCACTGGCTATAATATAATTTAGCTGGACGAAGCTATAATTAAGCTGGACTTCTATGCTTGCCAATGACACATTGAAGTATGAATAATTTATGCATATATTTTTACCGGACTAGTATAATGCCAGTCATTATGTTAGGGTAATGCTAAATGGTTTTTTCAATATGGTGTATGATTTTATCTCTTGTAATAGGCAGGAACTCAGGGTCCGAGACAACCATGGCACGATTTGCATTGTAGAATTGACGGGCCTGCTGCGTATGATGTGCTCACAAACTTTGAGCAGAGGTGGAAAAAAGCCACCAAATGGTCGGAGTTTGGACAACGTTTCAAAAGAATATCTCATTGGCATGATGATGCGTTAATAAAGTTAGAACGCATTTCATGGATACTTAGTCCCAACTCTTCCATTCCGAATGACGATCCTGTATTGTGGGTTTCCAAGGAAGACGATCCTGAAAACTGGCATGTTCAGGTTAATTAGTATGCACATCTTGCCTAAACAAAGCTTCTATTATCTGATTCGAATGTCAGTAAACTAATCTTGGTTAGTTGTGCCATTGTTAACAGGTTTTCCGATCCATAGATTCAGGTTCTGTGAGAGGATTTCCGAAAGATGTTCATTCAGCTGAGACTCAGGTTTTCTTAATTCCGTTTCTTTTTAGTGTTAAGTTAGCACATTGGAAAGTTCTACTGAATTTGTCTGTTCTTTTCAGTTTTGATAATTGTTTGTGTTTGTAACATTCTTTATTGCAGAACCTAGTCTGTGCAAAAAATCTAGTGATTGACATGAGCATTCAAACAGCATATGTTCAGGCAATAAGATCTGCCCAGCACTTTATATATATCGAGAATCAATATTTCCTTGGGTCCTCATATGCATGGCCATCTTACAAAGAAGCAGGTTCAACTAAAGTTCCTTCGTTATAAACACATTGTTGTGTAGCATTAGTGGCCTCCGCATTTGAATCTTCTTTTTATACAAATATAACTAGCTTGATAGTTGCTGAATTAATAGTTTCAACAATAATAAACAGCCTAATCCTATTGGAAATACAGTATTTGTCAGAATCATGTTTCCATTTACAGAGTCCATCTTACATCCATATTATGTTTTTATAAACACATTTACGTATGTTGTTAATGTTGTGATTACAAAAACATCCATAAATTATTTTCAGTTTCTTTTGTTTCTTGTGAAGATAGTTGAAATTCAGTTAATTTTGACTAGGTGCTGATAATCTGATCCCAATGGAGTTGGCACTAAAGATTGTTAGCAAGATAAGAGCAAAAGAGAGGTTTGCAGTTTATGTTGTCATTCCAATGTGGCCTGAGGGTCTTCCATCATCTGCCTCTGTACAAGAAATCTTATTCTGGCAGGTAATGTGATATGCAAAACTATAATTTATTTGACATGTGTAGGAGATTGATAGCAGCTCAAATAAAAGTTGAGCTCAATTTTAGGGCACTGGAAGGTAGGCAAACAAACAAATGGACATTGTCAAAGTGAAGAGATTTGGGGAAAATTTACTTCAAAATTCATTTCTATGTTTTCAAAATAATTAGTGTTATGTTGTTGGTAAACATTGTAGTGATAAACAGCCTAATCCTATTGGAAATACAGTATTTGTCAGAATCATGTTTCCATTTACAGAGTCCATCTTACATCCATATTATTTTTTTATAAACACATTTAGGTATGTTGTTAATGTTGTGATTACAAAAACATCCATAAATTCTTTTCAGTTTCTTTTGTTTCTTGTGAAGATAGTTGAAATTCAGTTAATTTTGACTAGGTGCTGATAATCTGATCCCAATGGAGTTGGCACTAAAGATTGTTAGCAAGATAAGAGCAAAAGAGAGGTTTGCAGTTTATGTTGTCATTCCAATGTGGCCTGAGGGTCTTCCATCATCTGCCTCTGTACAAGAAATCTTATTCTGGCAGGTAATGTGATATGCAAAACTATAATTTATTTGACATGTGTAGGAGATTGATAGCAGCTCAAATAAAAGTTGAGCTCAATTTTAGGGCAGTGGAAGGTAGGCAAAAAAACAAATGGACATTGTCAAAGTGAAGAGATTTGGGGAAAATTTACTTCAAAATTCATTTCTATGTTTTCAAAATAATTAGTGTTATGTTGTTGGTAAACATTGTTAACATGAAGGACAGCCATGGTATATGTATTCTTGCATTGTGAATGTACTTCTTGATATTTAGTGCCATTCTTTAAGTACTATGTGGAGATCTTTAGTTTTGCTTGCAGTAATTCATCTTAATTTGGCATGGTACATTGACAACCTGAAATTAGTTTTGGCCATAAGCACTCTATTAGCTTGGGAGAAATTTGACATTGCATATATCATATACCAAGCATACTTTTATCTATGTGACAGGCAGACTATTAGTTTAATTTGGCTCTTTGATTTTGCAGGGACAAACTATGCAAATGATGTATGAAATTATTGCACAAGAGTTGAAATCCATGCAACTTGACAATTCTCCAAAAGACTACCTTAATTTCTATTGTCTTGGTAATCGTGAAGAATGCCCACAAGAAGATCCAAATTCAAGCAATCAGCCTTCCTCTAATGGTGATACGGTAATCATGCAAACCCAACTTATTTTTAGTAGTTCAATATCTTCACCAATTGATGTACAGTGGGTCCTAATTACTACTCGAGATTTGTAACTTGATTTTTCTGCAACTAATGATCCACATATCTAAGTAACTGTTCTCAAAATGTAAAATATCCGAATTGTAGTATGGTTTAAAATTGAACTGGATGCATATGATCTGAATTTTATACAAGGCTTAGCTATAGGGCATCCGCTATTTGGGAATATTCTGGCCTTAAGAGACAAATGTAGTTTCCTTGCATTTGATAGTCACAGATCTTATTTTCATTATTTCAAAAATAATGCTCGGGATGTCAGATTCAGTTCAGAAATGTAGGTTTGAAGAGCATTAGGTGTCCAGCTTCTATGATTTTTTTATTCTTTTCATATATATATATATATATCATGAAACATAGTGCAAAAATTCTACTGCCAATGTCCGTGGGCTTTTTCATTTTTCTTCCCCTCAAGCCCTTGTTGTAATTGGGTTATTTTTACATCTTCTAATTATTTAAGGTTATTCAAGGTTATAAGTGCTCGCATGGATTAATACGAAACCCATTGATTTTCTGGTTGACTACCTGACTATGAACATTACTGTGCCCACTAACTCCTCTTGAATTTGGCATTGCATTTGCTCTTTATCTTTCTCTCGTGGTGTTAAATTAAATTGGCTTTGTTGATGTTTAGCCCTTCTGAAAATCTGTTTAAAACATATGTATATGTATTACATAAATATTAGTACTTATTTCATTGTCCAGTAAGTTGGAAGCTGCATGTTCTGGAATCCTGACCAATTCTCTAGGATTCAAACTATAAATATCTTTCAAACTAATGCTCTGAAAGAATTTGTAGGTTTGATTTTGTAACAATCCATTGAATCTTCTCTTTTTAGTAGAGTTCTGTATGTGAATTTGAAACATAAAATTTGTTATGATGTGAAACAAACCTGGAGTTAAATTTTTTCAAACAAATCTTTCAGGTTTCAGCTTCACAAAAATTCGGACGGTTTATGATTTATGTACATGCAAAGGGGATGATAGTAGATGACCAGTATGTGATTTTGGGGTCTGCCAATATTAACCAACGATCTATGGCTGGTTCAAGGGACACTGAGATAGCTATGGGTGCATATCAACCACATCACACTCGGGCTTGTAAGGAAAATCCACGTGGCCAGGTTGGTATCCTTGTTCATAGTGTTTGATATGTTTCATAATAATTTTCATTGTCATATGCATACAATATGCTATTATATTAAAAGAAGATCTAATTTTTTGTGCCTGATCTTCCTTGTGTGTGCCTACTGCCACTTAGCACATTTAGATTGTCAAAGGAATAATTAAATAACAAAGATGAGGAAGAATATTACAATGAGGAAAGGAAATGCATCGGGTGTCTACTATCAGAATATAATGTTTATAACCTGCTTTCTTGAATGACTTAGGTTGCTAATCCATTGAATGCTATCATTTAATCTGCCATCAACCTTCTTGGTGCTCGTGCAAACACATGCGCTTGCTTACATACTTGAAGATGTTTGGAATTCACTCACGATAATAACACAATTGTTAAACTTCCATTGAGAAATATATTGTGGCAAACCACATCACACTCGGGCTTGTAAGGAAAATCCACGTGGCCAGGTTGGTATCCTTGTTCATAGTGTTTGATATGTTTCATAATAATTTTCATTGTTTGTCATATGCATACAATATGCTATTATATTAAAAGAAGATCTAATTTTTTGTGCCTGATCTTCCTTGCGTGTGCCTACTGCCACTTGAAAAATTGTGTACTTGGGAGGTTACTAGCACATTTAGATTGTCAAAGGAATAATTAAATAACAAAGATGAGGAAGAATATTACAATCAGGAAAGGAAATGCATCGGGTGTCTACTATCAGAATATAATGTTTATAACCTGCTTTCTTGAATGACTTAGGTTGCTAATCCATTGAATGCTATCATTTAATCTGCCATCAACCTTCTTGGTGCTCGTGCAAACACATGCGCTTGCTTACATACTTGAAGATGTTTGGAATTCACTCACGATAATAACACAATTGTTAAACTTCCATTGAGAAATATATTGTGGCACAGAGTTAGTTCTTAAATTGATTGATGTTCATGTTCTTTTTTTTTTTTTTTTTTTTTTTTGGGGGGGGGGGGGGGGGGGGGGGGGGGGGGGGTTGTTGGTATTGATGTTCATGTTCAAAAGACAAAATAAAATATTAATTGATATTCAATTGCAGGTATATGGATACAGAATGTCACTATGGGCAGAGCACCTAGGAAAGCTAGACGAGTGCTTCAAGGAGCCTGAGAGTTTGGTTTGTGTGGAGAGCGTGAACAAAATCGCTGAAGAGAACTGGAAGAAATTCACCACCGAGGAATTCACCCCATTGCAGGGCCATCTTCTAAAATACCCGGTGGAAATAGACACCAATGGTAAGGTGGGCCCCTTGCCTGGACAAGAGAACTTCCCGGATATCGGGGGTAAGGTGCTTGGTGCTCGTACAACCACCCTCCCCGATGCTTTAACTACATAGGTTCTGCCAGTTTTCATGCCTGCTGTTTACTGTAACTGTGTAGAATATTGCATGAGCCAAGTAAGTGATGGATAACGGATCTTTAAGACGGCATTCTTCTCAATTTGTAAAGTAATTTTGTAAAATGGAATGCATGTTGTACAGAGTGTTTGAAACTCAAGAGAGGGAGTGGGTGAGTGTGTGTGTGTGTGTTTGGTGTAATTGGATACCCCAATGAGAAGATCATAATAGGGTGTTCTAGAAGGTGGTGGAAAATCACTTACATATGTAATTGTGTGAATGGACAAGTATTTAGCTATGTAATTTCACAACATACTTTTCAATATATATTTAGCTTTTTTCTTTCTTTCTATCTTCTTTTTTCCTTTTTTCTTTTATTTTATGTTTAGAGCATGGATATGCAGTTGATTAAAAAAAATGAAGTGAAAGAAATTAAATTAGTTTTCTTTCATATTCTTTTGACTTGATAAATTCAAAATTCAAAAATTTGTTCTAAAGGATGAATTGTTCATCAGCTATACAAGAAGTCTGATACCAGATAAGATTATCAGTAATGTTATAATACCTAAATTTCAAATTATCAAAAATTGGATATCATATCTTATGTGCCAAAAGTGTTAATGCATTGATAAAAACAAGACAGGTAAGTTCTTTTAAATCAATATGTTGGCGACAATTAGATAATATTTAAATTTGATCACTTTTAACATTACCGTAAAAGATTATGTTTGGGATGGTAAAAGATTATGTTTGGGATGATAGGAATTACAGAGAAAAAAGGACAATCTCATCTTCATTTAGTTTTTATTTTTTATTTAAAAATAAAAATAAAAAATTAGCATGAAAATATTATTATTTCAGCTTCAATTAAGTACACAACAATCACTTTCCCATTTTAATTTGGTTGAAACAGAGACACATGATTATATTGTCATTCCCCTCAAAATACTCATCATTTAAACTAAGAATACTGTGATTGGTTATGCTACAAAGCCATGTTATTACATTTTTGTTCCCTGAACATTACAAAGAAAACCAGATACATTAAAGTGCTCAACTTCAATCTACCATGTTCAATTTAAAAAATAGGATGACTAAAACAAAGAACAATAAAAAAAATAAAAAATTCAATCATAGATTCAAAGTTGTCATCGCACAAAGTATTTTCTAGTTAACGGTCATCTTGCCAACCATCCTAGCTCCCTGGTGAGGGGCACAATAAAAACCATAAGTACCCTTTGACACATCTACACCCGCCGGAACCTCATCCCTGTCGAATACCACATTGTGGGGAACTCGGCATTGTTCTTGAAGACGATTTTTTCACCTGAAGCTATTGAGAAATTGTTTGGTTCAAAAACCAAACCACCATCAGAGCTCCCAAGCAAGATCTCAATGGCTAGTGCATTCCTGGCTAGCAATGCACTAGATGCGGTGGCAACCACTGCGACGCCAACTTCTTTTAATTGGAAACTCTCTTTCAAGGATCTCCTTTTGTGAGGAATCCCATTAAGAGTTTGAAATTATTGTGAAAGTCTCTACCTATTTATAAAAATAAAATTCTTTCAAAAAAACTCAAGAAATCTATGTGGGATTCAATCAAATTTACTGGAGGGAGATTTAAAATTTTGATATTCCTCCAAAAATTTTGCTCTTCTTTCAATCTAATTATTTGAATTAAAACCATATGAAGGGAATATTAAATATTTGATTTCCATTTCTAAAATTAAAATTAATAATATTTTAAAATATATTATTATATTTTTTAGTAAAAAAAATATTAGGAGAAATATTTAAAATAATTTAATAATTTTGATTTTTTTTTTAATAACTATTTTAATCAATTTGTCAAACATCCTCTTAATCTTGACTAGGTAACTTTATACTTCTGGAGGCATAATAGCCCCGTTTGGTGTAACTGTTAAAACAGCTTATAAATTATAACTTAACAGATTATAGATTATGACTTTAATTAGAAGTTGTTAATCTGTTTGATGTAACTGTTAGATTATAGATTTAAGTTGCTGAGTAGTGTTTGTTAAATAAGCTGTGAAATAGCTTTTTCAATTAATTTTTATTTTTTGTTTGTCTACATTTCTCATAAAAATAATTTTGAAACATTGGACCGGATGATATCCTTTGATGTGGCTTTGGATGTTTCTGATGTGAGGTGGATAATAATGGGAAGTGCAAAGTTAGGCTTAATTACTGGCAGGGGATAAGCGTTTTGCTTGTGGAAAATAGTCTACCACACCTAATTAAATTATAAAAAATAAAATAAAAATGGATTAATTATCAAAAAGTTCTGTCTACATATTTAGTGGTAGCTTAAGTTCTGTCAAAAAGTTTTTAAACCAATAAGTTCCATTTATAGGTAAAAAGATGTTTTGTCTTTTTATCCCAAAAGTGAGAATGTTCTCAATTTCAAAACAGAGAATGATTTCAGTATATAATTATCAAAATTAAGAAATTTCTCAATTGTTTTCTTAGTATGAACTGAAAATATTATTAGTTTTGAGAAATCTCTCAATTTTTTTGATGCTTTTGGTGCGGTGCTTCTAGTATTAATTGAGAATATTATCAATTTTGAGAAATTTCTTAATTTCTTTCATGATTAATTGGAAGCCGACAAATCTGAATTAAAATGAAGAAGTTTACATATATTTATAATATTATCAAGTATCAATGGACCAGATCATCCTCCAAATTAAAAAAAATAAATCAAAGTTCATGAGCGTGTTTCATTCGGTGACTATAACTTTTATATTTTAAAACATATGGAAGTCTCTTGGTCCTCTTCCCAGCAGTAAGGAATAATGAAGGTCAACTTGATGATAAAGAGCTTTGGTTCTATCATGTTAAAAAGAGCTTCTGAACCCAGAGAGAACTAAACAATACAAATTGAAGAATTTGGAATCCCAACAAGATCTAAACTGTGGGCAATATGATTTAGGCACTAGTATTGCAACAGTTACAAATTTGAAGTCACCTAGACTCCTGAAACCCACCAAGTAGTTCTACTTAGCTCTCTATCTCTCTCTCTCTCTCTCAAAAGAAAATCTATTCAGGTAAAAATACTGGAAGTGCATACACATACCTCAGAGAGCTGGCACTGAACATGAGCAACGTAGTGGCGTTCTTCACAGTAGTAGGTAGGATCATATAACTCCCTTCTTTTCTCACAAGAATCGCAGTAGAACTCCGAGTATTCATCTTCATCTGGATGGTCTCTGATGGGAGAATTGGTGAGAGTGAGGGGATGTACATGATGTTTATCTTTGACAGTTGGTGGCAATGTAGTTACACAACTGACATGGAGATTGAATTCGCACTCCACACAGCGGAAAAAATAGGTGTAGATTCGCCGCTTACAAGCGTTGCAACAGAGCACATAGGGTATGGCGGCGAAGAAAAACAATAACGAAACGCAGTGAAATGGATGAAGATTTGTACAGTCCGATTTGTCGGAGGAAGCAACGGAGAGACTCCGATGGTTCCGAGAAAAGAGATCCAAGTTCTCGTCACCGGTGAGGCTGAGACCACGCCGATGCTGCGTTCTCGTCGGAATATTCCTTTTGGCGGCCTGAGATTCCTTCAAAGTCTGATTCATTTCTAGATCTGGTTTGAGATGTCGTGATGTCGAGCTTCAGGCAATATAGTTCGTAGAACCGACGTGTTCTCGGCTAAGAGAGAGAGAGAGAGAGAGAGAGAGGGAATGAAGTACAGCAATGGATGTTTGACAACTATGGAGGAGGTCTTGGAGGGTAAATTAGTCTATTAAAAATTAATGAGACTTGAAGGAGTAAATAATTTTATCTAGGACTTAATAGATTATAAGTTAACAAAATGGGACTTGTATGTAAATGTCCCTAAACAAAAGGAAAAATTAGTCTAAGGTCCCTCTTTCATGTTTAGTAATAGAAGAGATCCACGATATTATTTTATGATATCTAAGGTCCCTACAGAGAAATTTGATATATCTCACACCTTCAAACCCTTACCTTCCCTCTCTCTCTTCTCGCTGCTCTTTTCTCTCTTTCTCTCTCTTTCGTTGATCCAGCTCGTCGGCTACTCTCACTTCGTCGAAAACGTCATCCTCTCTTCCGATGGCCAGTTCGCTCTCTCCGGCAGCTGGGACTCCGAGCTCCGCCTCTCGGACATCTCCACCGACATCACTACTCACCACTTCGTCAGCCACTCCAAAGACGTCCTCTTCGTCACTTTCTCCTTCGATAATCGCTAACATGTTGGAAAGATAAACCTGGTTCTAAGCACTGCTCAATATTGAAATGGTCGACGCTAGCGTTAAAACAGTTGGATGATGATGCTTAGACAGAAGGTTGAGTTCCCAAAGAACTGAAGTTAGGGCACTGTTAAGATTTGGGTATGAGGCATTAGGTTGATACTTTTGCAAGTAATTAAATTAGTCATTAGTAAAAGGTCTGGGAAATTCAAATGAAGAGCCCACCAGTTCAATGGAAGGTTAACTACATAACAAGAATAGAACATGTATATAATCATACGTTTTGGGGAATACACTCGCTATAGGTATAAATTATGTATTTACAAGTATGATTATATATATACACATGTATGTATATGTATATGTATATGTATATAAACTGATTTAGTGTATGATTATATATTTTGATAGGCATATATCTCTAGTTGTTCAAATTTCTCCTTTGGACCAAACCAGAGAATTTCTTTGGACCAACCCAAAGAAAATTCAATTTAAACCAGAGAATTTCTCTGGACCGACCCAGAGAAAATTCAACCCAAACTAGAGAATTTCTCTGGACCAACCCAGAGAAAATTCAGACTAACCTAGAGAAAATTCAGTTGAAACCAAAGAAAATTCAGTCTAAACCAAAGAATTTCTCTAAACCAACACAGAGAAAATGTGCTTGGGGAGCCTGGTTTCTCTCAATGGTGGTATTGAAAGTGATGGGAAGAAACAACAAGAGCCATATGAGGAGAACAGGTAAAGCTAACATCAATCCTATTTGCTCTTTTAATTCTACATGTTTTGTTGTGTTTATATTGCTTTACCTTGTTCACTGTAGATAATAACTCTTACTGATGTGATGATAGACATAATTTTGACAATATTACTGACATGATGAAGCAAATGCATAAATACAAATAATTTTTTCAAAGCTAATGAAAAATATAATGGTGTTTGGGAACTTGGGTTTCGAATTTTTTTTTTTTTGATTTTTTCCACTAAAAGACAAACTTTTTACAAAACCAAAAAAAAATACATCCAAACAAAATATCACATCCAACTCCATAATCATTTTACTTTTTCTCTCACAAACATCACATCCAACCACAAAAAAAATCCA